AGTGATATTGGTCTGTAGTTTTCTTTCTTTGTGACATCCTTGTCTGGTTTTGGTATCAGGGTGATGGTGGCCTCGTAGAATGAGTTTGCGAGTGTTCCTTCCTCTGCTATATTTTGGAAGAGTTTGAGAAGGATAGGTGTTAGCTCTTCTCTAAATGTTTGATAGAATTTGCCTGTGAATCCATCTGGTCCTGGGCTTTTCTTTGTTGGAAGATTTTTAATCACAGTTTCAATTTCAGTGGTTGTGTTTGGTCTGTTCATATTTTCTATTTCTTCCTGATTCAGTCTTGGCAGGTTGTGCATTTCTAAGAATTCGTCCATTTCTTCCAGGTTGTCCATTTTATTGGCATAGAGTTGCTTGTAGTAATCTCTCATGATCTTTTGTATTTCTGCAGTGTCAGTTGTTACTTCTCCTTTTTCATTTCTAATTCTATTGATTTGAGTCTTCTCCCTTTTTTTCGTGATGAGTCTGGCTAATGGTTTATCAATTTTGTTTATCTTCTCAGAGAACCAGCTTTTAGTTTTATTGATCTTTGCTATCGCTACCTTCATTTCTTTTTCATTTATTTCTCATCTGATCTTTATGATTTCTTTCCTTCTGCTAACTTTTGGGGTTTTTTGTTCTTCTTTCTCTAATTGCTTTAGGTGCAAGATTAGGTTGTTTATTCGAGATGTTTCCTGTTTCTTAAGTAGGACTGTATTGCTATAAAGTTCCCTTTTATAGCTACTTTGGCTGCATCCCATCAGTTTTGGGTTGTCGTGTTTCCTTTGTCATATGTTTCTAGGTATTTTTTTATTTCCTCTTTGATTTCTTCAGTGATCACTTCGTTATTAATTAGTGTATTGTTTAGGCTCCAAGTGTTTGTATTTTTTACAGATCTTTTCCTGTAATTGATATCTAGTCTCATAGCGTTGTGTTCAGAAAAGATACTTGATATGATTTCAGTTTTCTTAAATTTACCAAGGCTTGATTTGTGACCCAAGGTATGATCTATCCTGGAGAATGTTCCATGAGCACTTGAGAAAAATGTGTATTCTGTTGTTTTTGGATGGAATGTCCTATAAATATCAATTAAGTCCATCTTGTTTAATGTATCATTTAAAGCTTGTGTTTCCTTATTTATTTTCATTTTGGATGATCTGTCCATTGGCAAAAGTGGGGTGTTAAAGTCCCCTACTATGATGTGTTACTGTCGATTTCCCCTTTTATGGCTGTTAGTATTTGCCTTATGTATTGAGGTGCTCCTATGTTGGGTGCATAAATATTTACAATTGTTATATCTTCTTCTTGGATCGTTCCCTTGATCATTATGTAGTGTCCTTCTTTGTCTCTTCTAATAGTCTTTATTTTAACGTCTATTTTGTCTGATATGAGAATTGCTACTCCAGCTTTCCTTTGGTTTCCATATGCATGGAATGTATTTTTCCATCCCCTTACTTTCAGTCTGTATGTCTTTAGGTCTGAGGTGGGTCTCTTGTAGACAGCATATATATATAGGTCTTGTTTTTGTATCCATTCAGCCAGTCTGTGTCTTTTGGTTGGAGCATTTAATCCATTTACATTTAAGGTAATTATTGATATGTATGTTCCTATTCCCATTTTCTTAATTGTTTTGCGTTTGTTATTGTAGGTCTTTTCCTTCTCTTGTGTTTCTTGCCTAGAGAAGTTCCTTTAGCATTTGTTGTAAAGCTGGTTTGGTGGTGCTGAACTCTCTCAGCTTTTGCTTGTCTGTAAATGTTTTAATTTCTCTATCAAATCTGAATGACATCCTTGCTGGGTAGAGTAATCTTGGTTGTAGGTTTTTCTCCTTCACCACTTTAAATATGTCTTGCCAGTTCCTTCTGGCTTGCAGAGTTTCTGCTGAAAAATCAGCTCTTAACCTTATGGGGATTCCCTTGTGTGTTATTTTTCCCTTGCTGCTTTTAATATATTTTCTTTGTAGTTAATTTTTGACAGTTTGATTAATATGTGTCTTGGCGTGTTTCTCCTTAGATTTATCCTGTATGGACTCTCTGTGCTTCCTGGACTTGATTAACTGTTTCCTTTCCCATATTAGGGAAGTTTTCAACTATAATCTCTTCAAATATTTTCTCAGTCCCTTTCTTTTTCTCTTCTTCTTCTGGAACCCCTATAATTCGAATGTTGGTGCATTTAATATTGTCCCAGAGGTCTCTGAGACTGTCCTCAGTTCTTTTCATTCTTTTTTCTTTATTCTGCTCTGCAGTAGTTATTTCCACTGTTTTATCTTCAAGTTCACTTATCCGTTCTTTTGCCTCAGTTATTCTGCTATTGATCCCTTCTAGAGTATTTTTCATTTCATTTATTGTGTTGTTCATCATTGCTTGTTTCATCTTTAGTTCTTCTAGGTCCTTGTTAAATGTTTCTTGCATTTTTTCTATTCTATTTCCGAGATTTTGGATCATCTTTACTATCATTATTCTGAATTCTTTTTCAGGTAGACTGCCTATTTCCTCTTCATTTGTTAGGTCTGGTGGGTTTTCATCTTGCTCCTTCATCTGCTGTGTGTTTTTCTGTCTTCTCATTTTGCTTATCTTACTGTGTTTGGGGTCTCCTTTTTGCAGGCTGCATGTTCGTAGTTCCCGTTGTTTTTGGTGTCTGTCCCCAGTGGCTAAAGTTGGTTCAGTGGGTTGTGTAGGCTTCCTGGTGGAGGGGACTAGTGCCTGTGTTCTGGTGGATGAGGCTGGATCTTGTCTTTCTGGTAGGCAGGTCCACGTCTGGAGATGTGTTTTGGGGTGTCTGTGGACTTATTATGATTTTAGGCAGCCTCTCTGCTAATGGGTGGGGTTGTGTTCCTGTCTTGCTAGTTGTTTGGCATAGGGTGTCCAGCACTGTAGCTTGCTGGTTGTTGAGTGAAGCTGGGTTCTGGTGTTGAGATGGAGATCTCTGGGAGATTTTCACATTTGATATTATGTGGAGCTTGGAGGTGTCTTGTGGACCAGTGTCCTGAAGTTGGCTCTCCTACCTCAGAGGCACAGCAGTGACTCCTGGCTGCAGCACCAAGAGCCTTTCATCCACCCGGCTCAGAGAAAAGGGAGAAAAAGAAGAAAGAAAGAAAGGAAGGAAGGGAGGGAGGGAGGGAGAAAGGAAGGAAGGAAGGGAGGAAGAAAGGAAGGAAAAAATAAAATAAAGTTATTAAAAGAAAAAATAATTATTAAGAAAAAAAATTTTTTTTAAAAACCAGACAAATAGAACCCTAGGACAAATGGTGAAAGCAATGCTATACAGACAAAATCTCACACAGAGGCATACACATACACATTCACAAAAAGAAGAAAATGGGAAAAAATAATAAATCTTGCTCTGAAAGTCCACCTCCTCAATTTGGGATGATTCATTGTCTATTCAGGTATTCCAGAGATGCAGGGCACATCAAGTTGATTGTGGAGCTTTAATCTGCTGCTTCTGAGGCCTCTGGGAGAGAGTTCCCTTTCTCTTCTTTGTTCGCACAGCTCCCGGGGCTCAGCTTTGGATTTGGCCCTGCGTCTGCGTGTAGGTTGCCGGAGGGCGTCTGTTCTTTGCTCAGACAGGACGGGGTTAAAGGAGCCGCTGCTTCGGGGGCTCACTCAGGACGTGGGGGAGGGAGGAGTGTGGATGCGTGGTGAGCCTGCGGTGGCAGAGGCCGGCGTGACGTTGCGCCAGCCTGAGGCACGCCGTGCGTTCTCCCAGGGAAGTTGTCCCTGGATCTCGGGACCCTGGAAGTGGCGGGCTGCACAGGCTCCCGGGAGGGGTGGTGTGGATAGTGACCTGTGCTCGCACACAGGCTTCCTGGTGGTGGCAGCAGCACCCTTAGCGTCTCATGCCCGTCTCTGGGGCCCGCGCTGTAAGCCGCGGCTCGTGCCCGTCTCTGAGGTCCACTCGTTTAGCCGCGGCTCGCGCCCGTCTCTGGAGCTCCTTTAAGCAGCGCTCTTAATCCCCTCTCTTCGCGCACCAGGAAACGAAGAGGGAAGAAAAAGTCTCTTGCCTCTTCGGCAGCTACAGACTTTTCCCCAGACTCCCTCCCGGCTAGCCGTGGCGCACTAGCCCCCTTCAGGCTGTGTTCACGCCGCCAACACCAGTCCTCTCCCTGCACTCCGACCGAAGCCTCCCAGCCCCGCCCGCCCCGGTGGGTGAGCAGACAAGCCTCTCGGGCTGTTGAGTGCCGGTCGGCACCGATCCTCTGTGCGGGAATCTCCCCGCTTTGCCCTCTGCACCCCTGTTGCTGTGCTCTCCTCCGCGGCTCCAAAGCTCTCCCCTCCGCCACCCGCAGTCTCCGCCAGCGAAGGGGCTTCCTAGTGTGTGGAAACCTTTCCTCCTTCACAGCTCCCTCCCACTAGTGCAGGTCCCGTCCCTATCCTTTTGTCTCTGTTTATTCTTTTTTCTTTTGCCCTACCCAGGTACGTGGGGAGTTTCTTGCCTTTGGGGAGGTGTGAGGTCTTCTGCCAGCGTTCAGTAGGTGTTCTGTAGGAGTTTTTCCACGTGTAGATGTATTTCTGGTGTACCTGTGGGGAGGAAGGTGATCTCCGTGTCTTACTCTTCCGCCATCTTCCTGATTCCCACCAATCTTTTTTTTAACCATACTTCTCATTCTAGCTTTATCCTTAGGAAATCAAGGATAGCATTGGGTTTCATTGCCTCTGGTCTCTTAGCAGTACTTATCCACAATCTGCTTTTGCAGGGGATTTTGAGACTACCAAGGCACAAAGAAGTGATGTGGTTGATTATTAATATCTACAAGAACAATACCAGGAGGAGTAGTGTCCCTCTTGTCTCATGATTCTCTAACCTCTTTACATTTTGCTTTTCTTATTGAGGGTACTTGAATGAACTGATGGAACTTGCGACTGAGAAGAAGCTTCCAAGTTCTATCTCTTTGTCAATGGCAAGGCTGCCATGAATGTCAGGAGGAGGCTGAATACTTTAAATCCTCATCCTGATGAAATTAAAGCATTTTAACTTTGGATTTGAGATTGCTAATTGATGACTTTTTATTATTTTTGTAGGCCGCACTCAGTATATTTGGCATGGTTGGGGGACCACTTCTGGGCTTATTTGCTTTGGGGATTTTGGTTCCCTTTGCCAACTCAATAGTAAGTATTAAAAATGAATATGTGGGGCTTCCCTGGTGGCGCAGTGGTTGGGAGTCCGCCTGCCGATGCAGGGGACGCGGGTTCGTGCCCCGGTCCGGGAAGGTCCCACGTGCCGCGGAGCGGCTGGGCCCATGAGCCGTGGCCGCTGGGCCTGCGCGTCCGGAGCTTGTGCTCCGCAACGGGAGAGGCCACAACAGTGAGAGGCCCACGTACCGCAAAGGGGAAAAGAAAAAAAAAAAAAAAAAAATGAATATGTGTAAAGCCTACTTTTCCAACTGCAGTAGCGCCTCTATAATTTTTTCTCAATTGTAAAGATATGGTTCCTTTGATATTTGTCATTAGTGACCTGTCTTGATGTCTTAAATTACTCATATTGACTTTGCTGGGATACACAATGAACGTACTATGCATTGTGACCCTGCATATGTGGAACTAAATGGAAACTACCAGAATAATATATGACTATCATACAATGAAATTATATAATAACATGATATTTATAAATACAATATATTATAGAGTATTATATAACATAACTAAAGGATATATATTATGAAACAATATACAATATGATATGTAATATATACTACAATATATATTATGACTATTATATAACTAAAGGAACAACATTTTGTGCGCATCTACTTTTTTGCCGTTCTTGAAAATTAATCGCTAGGATTTAAAGGAGATCTACAGGCTCAGATATGCAAGATTTCAGGGCAGTAGAGCTGAGGATACCTGTGACTAGCTGGAGTACAGTAAAGAGAAGAAATAGAATAAAATCTTCACCACTTTGGTCAGAAAATTTATACTCCTGATATTTAAAGATGTAGCTCCACCAACATGGTTTTAGACCCAAAGGAGTGATTATAACTGGGAATTGTATTCAGAAAGAGGTAATAGCTCATTTCTTCTACATAGACATATCTGTGCTTTGAGGCCAAGTTTTGTTTAGAATAAGTGAAACTGAAATTACTTCTCTGAAATCCAGGAGGAACTCCACTAGTTCAGTCCTGCTGTAAGCTGAAGTTCAGGAAAAGCTGGTAATGTATGTGTGGTTGTTTCAGACAGATGGAGAATAACTGCAGAACTATGACTTTACATTTAGAATTCCATTTTCCTCATGAGGCATTAGGAATTGGTAAGGCAGATACTAATAAGGGCTATTATCATCGTTATTATTGTTAACAATAATTCTCAACAAAGTGTCATATGAAAAGCTAGTTTGGCAGAAATTAATCAAAATGAAAGAGAGCAGTTTGTGTCCACCTCAGAATGTTGAAGCTTTGATGAGATTCTTTGCATTATGAGATACATAGTGGTTTGTTGAGTGCCTGAAATATTAAAAGAAGACTGACTTTTGATTTTTGACATTTATTTCCACCATGAGTTGCCTCCAGAAATGCTATAGCTGACTAGGTCCAACACGCCCTTAGAAGGGGAAGTAAGAACTGTTATTCCTGTCATAATATCTGTCATTATTCTTAAAGAAAGGGGAGAAATTTCACCACAGAGGAAGGCGCTTCCCAGCTCAAGATGTGCTTTCATCTCCATCATTTGGAACTAGGGCTTAAATCATTCAAGGACTGACTGACTGATCAAAACTACTTGGATTACTGGTGAAAAGCAGGCAGGGGAACCCACGTCTTCCAAAGACTGGGGAACCAAATGTCTTCAGAAAGGAAATCTCCACTTGTCTCTAGAGATGGTTTGGTTGTATGTACCATTGCAGTCATTTGTGAAAACAGCTGGCTGTTTCCCCCTAATTTTCCTGCAGTACAGTTACAGACATGCATGTTGCTATGTATAGCAATAAATTCTGTGGATGTTTTCTTCTTCGTGTCTGTTGCTGCTCAGATGGCATGCCATTTTTTCACAGATTAAATAAAAATAGAGGGAACAGTTGGCCTGAAGTCAGCTGCAGGACTGTTGTAGTTATTGGGTGTAAAGAGACAAGGAGGCCAAAACAGAGTGCTGGCCATGGAAACAGAGTGGAAGGAATGGAATTATGAGACAAAGGAAAAGAAAAATGGGCAGGAATTGGTGATTGGCGAGATAGAGATACGAATTATATGGGGGGGTTCCAGAGACCCCAGGGCTTTGGGCTGAGGGACCAGGGACCCATGCTGCTCTTGGCAAGAGGCAAGGAGCTTACAGGGGAAAAGAGTTTTAGGAGGGGACTGGTAAATTTGGCTTGGACCATGTTGAGCTTAAGCTTCTAATGTTAATTTCCATTTCAAAGCAAACTGTATTATTTTTTTTGAGAAGTACTCCTGTTTTGCAGGGAGCACTTGTGGGTCTGCTGGCTGGATTTACCATTTCTTTGTGGGTCGGAATCGGAGCTCAACTTTATCCTCCACTTCCTGAAAGAACTATGCCATTAAGCCTTGAAACCTACGGCTGTAACAGCACATACAATGGGACAGATTGGATGACAACCACAGAAGTGCCATTTTCTACCAGTGCTTTTCAAGTATACAACATTGAAAGGTATTGAATTGAGCTTTATACTGTTGTATGTTTTAAAATGTGTGTGACAGGTAGAGAACCCCAGTTGCTTTTCTTGCCTTCAGTGCTGTGATTTTGCCTAATTCTGAAATGGGGAGAGCCCATGTGGCTTTCTGGCTATGATATTTTGTTCAGAAATAGCAAAAAATGCCATATTTTCTTAGTTTCAATAGAAACGTCTACCTCACCTACAGATGCAGAGGAGACTTGAATAGTAACAAAAAAATTTCTTTTATGGGTAAATGCTAATAAATACTGGCTCCAGTTGAATGAAAAAATGCCTCTGTACACTGAAAAACCTTTAAAATGAAAAGTAAAATGCTAAAAGACACATTGCATATATAGTTTTTGAAGTATAGCCTTTACCAGCTAAAAGCTACAGTTTATCTAAATATGTTGGGTAATTGCTATTTGTTCAGTTTTAAAGATGCCGTATCTTTAGAGCATTGGCAATAAGTCACAGCAGTGATCTTCCTGCTAGAGTTTTCAGTTATGCAGAACATTTTTGAGCTTCTGGATATTGATATTGTCTGATTTAATGAAATGATGTAGACCTTTTTTTATATCACTATTTCACTGCACAGTGGATGTGAGGGCGAGACTCCCCTTAGTGGATATATATCAATACATCTCCAGCCTTAAAGCACAAAACGCATGGATACATTCAAGGAATACAAAGATGAGGCCACTTCCCCTAAAGTATTACCCCAGTTCCAGCTTGCCTAGAATGAAACCATTGGAGAATCATTCCACCTGAGACAAGACATGGCATCTCCGTCTTAAAATGGACAGACTCCTGGGAGAAAGAATGTGACCATACATATAAACATCATTGGTGATTTATGTCCCAGAGGGAATTCAGCAGTGAGAACACTTGTCAGTGGGAGTTCAAGGCTGGTAAACTCTGCATGGGTAGAGAGAAAAGATAGTTCCAGAGCCTGAGGCATATATGGGGGAAGGTTTGACTAGGTGGGGTGCACAGAAATACAGTGAGTAGTCCGGATAAGCATGAATGCACTAATGTGGGGGGGGGTAGTCAGGAAGTCATTAGAGAGTGAAAAAGGGAGCAATTATTAATTAAGTGTAAGTAGGAGGACGTTGAAGTCGTGCTTTTCGTTTTACAATTTTGCTTAGCATTTGTCCTGATTATGTAAATGCCTCTTTTAATTTAAAAGAGTAAGGCAAATTGGTTATTCGGATTTCTGAAACAAATAAATTAGCTGAGGTTTACTATGTGCCTGGTACCATAACAATCACTTTTATATGTTAGCTTATTTATAAAATAACTCAGCTAATAAACAAGAATTTTTGAGCATGAACTATGCACCCGGCACTGGGCTGACCATTTATGTAATATCCATAGACAGTCTTCCCCTCCCATCCACCGTGGTTCCTGCCTTCCAGGCAATTATAATCTAGCTGGAGAGAACATGCTACTATACACAAAACAAGGAACTCAGTACGCATGATAAGTATGATAACTAGCTAATAAATAGTTGAAAGTATTTGTTAAAAGAATGATTATAAACAAAGTTGGAGTGTAGATTAGCACAGACTTCAAGATCTACTAATACTTGAAGAATGCAGAAGTTGGCTAGAGGAGAAGGTCTGGAAAGTTATTCTTGTCACAGAAACAACCAGAAGAGAAGTTGAACAAGAGAATAAACAATGTTGTGAACAGTAGTATTCATAGGCTCTCATGGGATCCACGAGGAGGAAGAGCCTAACTCTTCCTGGGTGGAAGATGCTTCTTAGAGAAGTATTCCATGAACTGGAGCTACTCAGGTGAACAGGATTGGGCAGTGGGAACAAAAGGAAGATGGAGTGTATGTTGCAGAATGAAGGCAACATATGCAGAGGCATGAAGGCCTGAAGCCACATGGCATCTTAGGAAATCATGCATAGCTCAGTACGGCTAGAGTCCAAGGGGAATGAACGCACAGCTAAAGGTGAAGTAAGATATGTTTTGGTTGCCTAGGTATTGGGTTTCAATTACCCAGATTCAGTTTTTATTTAAGTTTCTAGTACTTGATGGGTACACATTGGTAGCTTGTTGTGCTTTTAACTTGCATTTCCCTTATGATTAATGAAGTTCAGTACCTTTTTACATGTTTATTGGCCATTCGTATAACTACTCTTGTGACTTGTCTGTTGAAATCTTTGGTCCATTGTTAAATGGGTTCTCTGTCTTTTTCTTATTTATTTAGGATATCTTGATATATTCTAGATACAAGATAAGTTTTGAAAATATTTTTCTCCCACTCTCTGGCTTGCCTTTTTACTCTCTTAGTGATGCTTTTTAGTGGTCAGATTTTCTTAATTTTAATTGAGTTCAACTTATCAGTCTTTTCCTATATGGTTAGTCCTTCGTGAATTCCGTTTAAGAAATCTTTGCCTACCCTGAGGTCATAAAGCTATTCCTCTATTTTTTTATTTAAAAGCTTTCTTGTTCACCATTTCCACTTGGGAAATGTAATCCACTTCAGAATTGATTTCAAGTGATCAAGATTCATTTTTTCCCATATGGATATTCTTTTTTTTTGGACTAGAAGAACCGTTTTTTTGTTGTTTTTTTTTCATAACTCACACACACACACTGTATTTTATTTTTACAAGAGATAAATAAACTGACACCAAGCATTGTAAATGGATGGCCACAACAAAAGCAACGATGATTGCAATTACCAAACACGAAACACACTCATACTATGTCATAATACTGACATTCAGTCCAGTAATCCTCCACTGTAACAGCTCCTGTACTTTGCAGTGAAAATTGATTTGTATATTTTTTGCCTCTGAGTCCTTGTGGGATTTTTTTTTTATTCAAACAGAAAGTCACAAAAATTATAATCATCCTCAACAGTTCACTCAGTCCCATGTAATTAATTTTTTTCATCTTGATCTTTTGTTAGCACTTTTACAAATTCATCAGTTTTCCATTAGCGTTCTGAAAATGCTTATTCATTCAGTTCAGCAGTAGAGTCAGTTACCAGAAACCTGTACTTGTCAGAGTCTTTTCCATGAATTCCTTGAAGATGAAACCCTTTTATAGGAACATTTTTGTGAAAGCATCAGGGTACACCCAGAACTGTCTGTAAATGACAAAAGACTTAAAAATGACCCATATGGATATTCTGTTAACCAAGCACCATTTATTGAACGGAGCCTCCTTTTACGCCACTTTGCAATGCAGTGGCAACTTTGACATAAACCAAATGTCTATTTTTCTATGGGTCTGTTTTTCAGTTTTCTATTCGGTTCTATTTTGTCTGTCTTTGGCCCAATATATCACATTATCTTCATTTACCTGGCTCACATCTATTTTTCCCTTCTTTCTGGGATGTTGGCTTCTCAAGTTCTAACTGCCATGATCTCTCTGAGGTCTTCAAAAACCTGCCTCCCCCCATTTCCCAGTTTTCATATTTTGTTCTTGGCAGGATGGTGGGTCTACCCTATCAAAGCTGAAAGTGGAATCTTAGAGCAATTGTTTTAGAAGCAGATCAGGTCATGTCACTCCTCCACTTAAAATACTGCAATGTGCCCTCCAAGTTGATCCATGTTGCTGCAAATGGAAGTGAAATAAGTCAGACAAAGACAGATACTGTATGATATCGCTTATATGTGGAATCTAAAAAACATAACATACTAGTGACTATAACAAAAAAGAAGCAGATTCACAGATATAGAGAACATACTGGTGGTTGCCAGTGGAGAGAGGGAAGGGGGAGAAGGGCAATATAGGGGTAGGGGATTAAGAGGTACAAACTACTAGGTATAAAATAAGCTACAAGGATACATTGTATAACATGGGGAGTATAGCCAATATTTTATAATGAATATAAATGGAGTATAACCTTTAAAACTTATGAATCACTATATTGTACACCTGCCTGTAACATATAATATTACACATCAACTCTAATAAAATGTAAATTTAAAAAATAAAAATAAAATAAAATAATAAAAATAGTGCAATGTGTGCCGCTATCCAGAGAGTAAGGTCCAAACTCATCCAAGTCCTACGAAAAGACCTCTAGCTCATCTTGTACCATTCTATATCTTGTTCGTTATGCTACCGTCTGCTGGTGTTTACCTCTCTCTGGAATGCTTTCTCAAGAACTTTTGTTATTCAGATCTCAGTTCAAATGCCTCTTCTTCACAAAGACTTTCCCTGACCACTCCTTGTAGTGTAGTTCCTTTTTTCTACCCTGTTAATGTCACATTACCTTGTTTCATTTTCCTTATATACTTTCCACCAGTGGGAATTATTATGTTCATTAATTTGTTTACTTGTTCATTACATTTCTCTATTAGAATGTAAACTTTCTGAGGGCAGGAACAACCTTATCCAGCTTTTTTATGGCAGACTTTCCAAAAGCAAGAACAGTACCTGGGACACAAAGCAGAGTTGAATGAATAAACATGGACATTTAGTATTCTAGTATGTGGTTAAGATTAAGTCATACTTTTAATTCCTGATCCAATAAGATAAAATTGGAACAGCAGATGTGGACGTTAAAAACATGATTAAATATTATATTTTGACTTTGCCATGAGGTTTATTGACACATACTCTTAGCTGCTAGTAGCATGCATGAAATCTTACGGTTATGCTTTTGCTCTCTCTTAGGACTCCACTGATGGATAACTGGTATTCTTTATCATATCTATACTTCAGTACTGTTGGAACTTTGGTAACGTTATTTGTGGGAATGCTTATCAGTTTATCTACAGGTAACTAAACATTAGTATTGCTATATTACCGTTACATTAGTTTTTACTATATCTGTTTTATAAGTATTTATGTTATTTTACTATAGTCCTAACAACTAGTTTAATTATTTGTTCCATTTTACTCATGGGAAATTTTACGGCCTGGTCTTGAAAACAGAAGACCCACCTCAATTTGAATCTTTGTTATGCCATTTGTTAGCTGAAAGAACTTATAGCTACTACATAGCTACTCTGAGCCTTAGCTATCCTATGTATAAAATGAGGATAATAATTGACCTGCCTATCTCACAGGTCTCTGTAAGATAAAAATAAAAGGCTTGAAGAAATTGTGTATAGGTACTACAATGCTAGGGATTTTACACATACCATTACAATAGCTCTGTGCCATGATCGTCTCATTGTCCTGCACTGACGCTTTGTAAAGAAGTATACACATGTAAGGAATAATAATTATGATCTTTATATCTAAACATAGTGTGAAGCCTTTCTCAGATGTTCATAACCTTTAAAAGAATAATTTTTAAAGGAAATCAAACCAATAATACACATAGCATACACAGCTCTCTGGGATTGCTATAGAAATGTTACCCTGGGACTTCATTTTGTCCTTGTTCTGTGAATTCTCTTGGTCTCCCTCCAGTGTTGGATTCCCTGCTGCCTGTATCCCATTACTCCTAATTCTTGTTTACACCCTCAACTGAATGGGGCACATCCTATAGCACATTCTTGAGAAAGGGTGGACAAGAGATCTTGGAAACATTGCATAGCTGAAAAAAAAAAAGTCTTTAATTCCTCCTTATGCTTGATAATTGCTGATAATTTGAATAGAGAATCCTAGGTTGAGAGTAACTTTCTTGTTCCCGGAGGCTGTGTTACTTCTCTTCGACTTGCCTTGTTGCTGTTGAGAATACCAGTGCCCTGCTGCCTGCTGCCCGTTCGGATGTGACCCATTTCACAATGACTGCCTCGCCCTAGCCTCTCAGGAGGGTTTCAATCTGAAGATGCATGTCCTGCAGTTCTAGGGCACTTTCCTATGTTATTTCTTTTGTAATTTCCTGCCATTTTCTGTTTTCTCTTTCTGGAAACTCCTGTTAGTCATATGTTTTAAACTTGGACAGTCCTCCTGATTTTCTTATCTTTTCTCTCCTACTTTCCATCTCTGTGTCTCTTAGGTTTACTACATGGGTTATTTTCAAAATGACTTTTCCAGTAATTTTCAAAGGAGTGCCCTGATTCAGTTTTGAGAATACTCTGTAAGGGAAGGAGGGCAGGTAGAGGCTATTGCAGTAGCCCACGTGAGCAATCACGGTGGCTTGGAGCAGGGCAGTAGTGTGGAGTTAGGGAGAAGTGCTGGGCTCCCTAATTTCCTACGTTTCCTCACACATACATATCCAGAGCAACCAAGCAGGGGGAGGCAGCTCCCCTGCCTTCTTTATCCAATGTGTTATGACTCGTTAGAAATCCTATAATTTGTCCAAGGATGCCTGATGTCTTTGTTTGCTTTATGCTGTAAATCTACCAGCATGGCGCTACTTTATAGAATTCTACCGTCTCTCATTGTTTTTTGGGACCTGGATAGCACTGTCTTTGAAACTTCTGTGATACTTATATCACAGGATGTGTATTTATAATTAATAAATTATATTAATAATTAGTGGTGATATTAATATAATTGTATCAATGATTATATTAACATTATATAATTATTTTAGACATTACAATTTATAATTATTGTAAACTTATAATAATGTTTGTAGCTATTAGTTACCTCTCAAACAGTTGTTTAAACTATTCTCTTTCGTTTCAAAAAGGACTATGCTTTTTCTCGTAAGTAAAATTTCCAGCACAGTAGGTTTACTCTCTTATCTGTTGTGATATATTTTAAGACTGATCTTAAACCTTTCTCACCAATAACCCAACTGTTCAGATCTGGAACACACCTAACCAATCTCCTTTTCCTATTTGTCCTTTGGTCCTTTTTCAACGCTTTTTTTTTTTCCTTTAAATAAATGGGAGTGTCAGAGTACTCCCTCTGAGTGCTCCTTTTCCCCCCCTTAAATACTTTGATTCTGATAACCTTCTACAGCTTTATCTTTTGCTTTAAAAAGTGAAGGTGAACAGGCATCCAGTGATTAAAAAACACTTCAGCTTCATTAATCTCATATATAACTTATTCCTACTTCATACCATCAGTGAGAACCTTGCAAAAAAAGTCTAGAAGCATAAAATCCTGATGCTCCTTGGGAAATATATTTAAAGATCTACTGTAGGATACTAGGAATATGTAGGAATTCAGGCCAAACAGACTTGGTTGGCATTTCAGCTTCACCTAATCACAGATGGTGCACCATGAATGTGTCTCTTCACTGGTAAAGTGGGGTAAATATTTTCCTACCTAGACTATGAGCTATGAGTGCAGTGATTATTTTATTCATCTCTGTCTCTCCAGCACCTGGTAGAGTCTCTAGAGCATGGTAGGCACTCAACGATATTGAATGAATTAATTTAAGGTTGAACCCATCTCCTGAACAACAGAGGTTCCCTTAATTAAACATCTAGTATTTATACTAAAATGGTGTTTCTCAAACTTTAGAGGGCAGAAGAATCACCTTGGAAATTTGGTAAAAATCAGGACTCAGTGGCTCCACCCACAGAGGTTTTAACTGGGTCAGTCGAGGTTGGAATCCACGAATCTGCATGTTTAGTACATCTCCTAGGTGGTTTGGATAGAGGTAGTTGGAGAACAACTCTTTGAGATACACAGTTTTAAAACCTCCTCTCTGATTCACAAATAAAATACCGAGCCAAAGAATAATTTTTGTAGAGCAAAACTTTAGGGAAGAGAATTTGGATCAAACACCTATCATCATACTGGTTTTCATTTAAATAATTTATCCAACAATTCATAATTTCCTGCATTTCTTCACACATTCATAGCCACTAAACTGGGGAAGGGCAACTCCATCAAGCAGAGGTTTGATATTTTATTGGTAGATCATGAAGGATGCATTTAAACCAGTTTTCCTACCAGTATTGGGCCAGATGACTCTTCCCTAGTTGATACCAGATGAGACAGTTGGCTTGCATTTAACAATCACCTTATTTATCTTTAAACACTAGACTCATATATATCACTGACAGGCTTGCAGAATCTGAGACTGACTGAGGGAAGAGAAATGGTAGGCTAAGTCTCCAGCACTATTTAAAAGACTTTCTCTTTGTGTTTTATAAGTGCCTAGAAGTGAATGTGCCCAAGTTAAATGTGTGTATGATGGTCCGTCACTGGGTAGTTACAGATATCTTTTTAACAATGCAAATAACATATGTTTTTCAGGAGGAAGAAAACAAAACATAGACCCCAGATTCCTACTAACCAAAGAGGACTTTTTATCCAATTTTGACATTTTTAAGAAAGTGAGTTGGCTTTCTTTTTCCTTAAATTAGTAAGACTGTGCTTTTATCACCAGGACAGAATACTAGTTACTCCTCAGACTTTCTTTTGGACAAGGAAGGTATTTGCCTTCCTTTTTTTAATGATTTATTTCTGTTGTTTATCTCTGCCTCAATAGACTATGAAGCTGATTTAGAGAAAGAAAAGTAGTAGTAACAATTCTTTAGAGTTGAACGAACAGTTTCTTTTTTCTAATCACCATGTTAACATTTTCTTTTAGAAGAAGCAAGTTTTAGACTATAAATCTCATCCAATAGAAGATGATGGAACTGATAATCCTGGCTTCAACCATATTGAATTGAACTGCACAGATCAAAGTGGCAAGATCAATGGGACTCGTTTGTGAAGCAGCTGTGATGCTAAATTATCTTAAACAGTGTCCCAGTTTTATATGTTTTTTAAGATAATTGGATCAGGTTTAGATTTTTTTTTGTCCTATCATGAGTGTTTTGGGGGAACTTTGGGGGGGGATACATTTTTGTTAAAACAAATTTTGACTTTTACTTTCTATACTCATTAATTGATGCTACTCTGAATGTAAGAGTTTCAGCATCAGTATTTTCCTCTATCTCTCTACTATTATATCAGTGAAGCTGTAGTTGTGCAAGTTGTGAAAGTTTTGAAAGTTGTGACTACATATGTGCTGAAAAGCTAATACACACATATACACACATACTCGATGGTCAAAAGCATATTCTTAAATTAGGGCATCATTAAAAATATTTCCCTGCATTTGGTGCTAGCATATATTTTGGAGTTTGCCGAAATCATAATTAATATTGAAAAGGACCTTTCTCCCTCCTACCACATACTCTATTCTTAGGGAGCAATGAAGTGACAGGTGTGTGCTGTCTCGATCTTTGCTTCTCATCAACCCCTGTCAGCCCAGGGCACGTTTAATCTTGGAATTGATTCTGGCTTGGGAGGGTGGTAATCAAGAAGCATCCTGTTTGGGACAGAACATGGGCCCAATGGTCAAGGTCTTTTTGGTGCTATGCATCTCTTGTGCCTTTTTGCTTGTTAACTAGAGTTCCTGGCCATTGGCTCCTCATATTGCCTTTCTTAGACTCTGGTTCTTATCTGGATTCCTGGTTTCTCACCCACTAACTTTGGTTTTGTTGCACATATTACCTTTGCCTTCCTGATTTCCTGTTCACTCTATTGCCTTGGGCTTGTGTATGTCTTGAGACACCCAGTGTGAATCATGCTACCCCATATCCTGGTTCACTGCGTCCTGGCCTATAAATATAAACTCCCATGAGCCTTATACTGACCAAAGTACTTTCAGCTAGGTACTTACAGATTTGGTGATCCAAGAACATTTACACAATTAAAAATGGGTAAGCTCTGTGGAATTAGATGATTCCATTGAATGCTATGAAGCTGAATGTCAACTAATTTGCAATGATTTAAATTTAAATGTACATATGCTTAGACATATTGAATTCCAGTGTATCCACCTGGTTGATGAGCTAAATTACATAGGCAAATACTACTATTTTTGTTTAGTGTTCCAGAATTACTGAATATATGCTATGTTCCATGCTTTAAAATTTTAAGTAGCAATCTCAAAGTTTATTTTGTTTATTTTCCTACATTTCTAGCTAAGACTTTGGTTACAGGCTTTCATCAATAACATTTTTTTCCTACAGTTCACACATTAGATACTGTTTAGAAGGGTTTTTTTAAGCATTACACTGTTTTAAAATAATAATGTGTGAAATATTTAGGTACATTAAAATATTTTATGATTAAATAATTTTTGCTTACTGTTTGATATTTAGGTGAGCATGCTGTACAGAGGTTGGCAATTAAAAACATTAAGAAATGTTTTTAATGTTAATGTTTTATTCATGTTATTAGGAAACATTAATAAAAATAAGAAATAGCTTTAATCTAAAGCAAAGAGATTTATACATTTAAATTAATGATATATTCACATATTTTCTATGTGTATAGTTGTTATTTTTTAATCAACATATTTGTAAGCATCCATCAAACTTTGTAACTCTTCCTATGATTTTTTAATGAGTAGGAAGATATAATCTTATTTGTTTTATGTGAGTGTGATTTGAACAATTGTTATTTATTTAGTAATTCTAATGCACATGTGTGTACTTTCCTTCAATTTTGGAAATCAAAATCAGGTTATTTAAATAATCTTTTCTCTTTTCTGACTGCCAAGGAGTTATGGAATATATTCTTTTTTGGGTTTTTTTTTGCGGTACGCGGGCCTCTCACTGTGGTGCCCTCTCCCGTTGCGGAGCACAGGCTCCGGACGCGCAGGCTCAGCGGCCATGGCTCACGGGCCCAGCTGCTCCGCGGCATGTGGGATCTTCCCGGACGGGGGCACGAACCCGTGTCCCCGGCATCGGCAGGCGGACTCTCAACCACTGCGCCACCAGGGAAGCCCTATATTCTTAAGGAGAGATATAACACTTCCATTCTTGTCAACTTGCTTTTAGGAAAATCTGTCTTTGTGACATTAGGAATTGTCACTATTTTACTTTTATAACACATGAGAGTACCAGATTTCTATCTTAAGAAATCAAAGTAATGTTACTATTAATTATTACAAATTATTTATCTTATCTAAATCTTTGGGTTAAACCAAATAAAGGTAAAATGTTAATGTAAATTTTAAAATCTAATGTTCTTAATTATTTTGAATCACAACAATGCTAATGGGAGGGAAAAGTCACATAAGTTACCTATTTCTTTTGCCACTAATAAGTTGTATGACCTTGAATTTATCCTTAATCTCTTCTAATGATGGAACTTAACACTAAACACGTACCTACCTCACAAAAATAATGTGACCATCAAAGATCAGATAGTGCTTTATTAATTCAAATAGTGTTACTTAAAATTTCAATTGATTTTGAGTCAAAATTTGAGACAACGTTTATTTGCTAGTTTTGAAAGAAGATAAGCCGTTAATAATTTGCAGTGTAATGATATGGAAATAGTTCCGTACTCTAAAAAAATATATGCCATAGAAATACTAAAATATAGTTAGGAATCAGCAGGATTATTCTAACAGAGAGAATGTAAACTCTAAAGAAAGCTACAGACTAATCATATTCACTCCATAGAGAAAAGAAAATTTTATATGTAGGATATAAAACAGTATATTCATCTATTTAGTTGCTTATGCAATCATTTTCTCTCTAGACCAGTGGTTCTCAATGGGGCAATTTTGCATCTCAGGGGACATGTAGAAATATCTGGATACATTTATGGTTGTTACATCTGGTGAGGAGGTGCTACTGGCATCTAGTGGATAGAATTCAGAGGTGCTGCTAAATGTCTTATGGTGCACAGGGCAGCCCTTCTCCTCCACAACAACAACAAAAAATGATCCTGCCTCATCTATCAATAGTGTGGAGTTCAAGAAATCCTGCCCTAGAGGCCAAGGTTGAAATCTTGATTTTCCTGAAGTCACACACCTTGGTTGTGTTCTTTTAAGGAAATTGCCTTGACTCATCTACAGGTGAGGATTAAAGTATTGCTAGCATATGGAATGTTACGATGCAGCATAATGACCATATATTTTCACAACATTTTGAAAATATTAAGGACTATAGAATTGTGAATAACTATGAAAACAACTCTTAAGAGAGTTTCATTTCTTGGGCTTCCCTGGTGGCACAGTGTTTAAGAATCCGCCAGCCAATGCAGGGGACACGGGTTTAAGCCCTGGTCCTGGAAGATCCCACATGCCGTGGAGCAACTAAGCCAGTGCGCCACAACTACTGAGCCTGTGCTCTAGAGCCCGCAAACCACAACTACTGAGCCCGCGTGCCACAACTACTGAAGCCCACGTGTCTAGAGCCCGTGTTCCGCAACAAGAGAAGCCACCTCAATGAGAAGCCTGCGCGCCACAATGAAGAGTAGCCCCTGCTCGCGGCAACTAGAGAAAGACCGCACACAGCAATGAAGACCCAATGCACCTAAAAACAAACAGATAAATAAATAAATAAATTTATTTTAAAAAAGAGAGTTTCATTTCTTAACATGATTTCCAATATTAACACACATTAGGATGAAGGAAGTATTAAATATGTGAGTATGAAGGTTTCATAATTTTATTTATGATAATTCCAGAAAATATAGTTTATTGTTAACAACTGAGTGTCTGTCCATGATGTAGATACATGGGACAGGGATGGAGCTGAGATGGGGGAGGTAACTCTCTGTGTTGATTCTTATAGGAAATTCTGAGTTTTATCCAATAACGATTGTTGATATGGAGTCAACTAAGTGAATGGCCCTTTAGTTACTGAAATTCACTGTATAATTTAATCACTGTAAAATTCACTTTTACATTTAAGTTGTATGCCCATTGTTTGTGAAAAAACTTGAGGAGATTGAACATTATCATGTAAAACATGATTGCATTTCTGACTTTTCAACTTGCTGATTAAACTACAAGTGTCTTTGCAGCTGTCTATTCTTGGGGGATAAATATCAAATTGAATATAATTAACTTTATCAGCTTTTACAGAAAGTTATTTTCACTCTATTTACCACACAAAGGACTCTTCCTATGTACTATGTATGGATTATAAAAGTGTAAGCAAATAATCATGTAGAACATATCACTGAAGGATATTTTATATTTTAAGCAATTAAGACTATATCTGGAAATACAATAGAAAATAACATTTAATACTAGAAATTCCTTAGCCATTATCTCTTTGAATATTCCCCCTCTCCCATTTTCTCTATTCTGTATTTCCTTACCTCCTATTAGATGAATGTTGTAACTTTTTATCTCATCCCCCATGTCTCCTGATCTGGTTCATAATTGTTATATTTTTATATTTATCACAATCTTAGAACATGTTAATCACCCCCAAAGAAACCCCATATCCATTAGCAGTCAGTCGCCATTTCGCCCAACCCCATTAGCCCTAAGTGACCACTAATCTACTTTTAATCTCCACAGATTTTTCTATTCTGGAAATTTCATATAAATGAAATCACATGAAAATCAAAAGACCCCAGTATGTCTTTTGTGACCACAGCGGTCTTTTGTGACTGGCTTCTTTCACATAGCATAATGTTTTCAAGGTTAATTCATGTAGCATACATCAGTACTTCATTCATTTTGATGGCCTAATAATATTCCCTTGTGTGGCTGTACCACATTTTATTTATCCATTCATCAGCTGATGGACATTTGTGTGGTTTCCACTTTTAGGCTATTATGAATAATGCTGATCTGAACACTGTGTACAAGTTTCTGTGTGGATGTGTGTTTTCGTTTTTCTTGAGTATATACGAGCAGTAGAACTGCTGGGTCGTGTGGTAACTCTATGCTTAACCATTTGAGGAACTACTAGACTGTTTCCAAAGTGGTTGCACCGTTTTCCGTTTCTATCAGTAGTGTATGAGGGTTCCAATTTCTCCACATCCTGACCAACACTTGTTAAATGTATTTTTTATTATAGCCATTC